TAAAGATCCTGCTTGCCCAATATTTCTATAGTTTACTGTCTGTCAGAGAGACACGGCATGACAAGAGGCATGCTAAATCTGCAAATTGTTTAATTTATTAGAAGTGGAGGGGATACGGGGTAGTGTTCAATGTGAAATATATATTTATGAAAATGTGAAAAAAGATGAGATAAAAAAAAAAAAAAGCAGGTTCAGGGGAAGAAGGAATAAGTGGTGGGGATTAGAACTCTGAATGGTTGCTAGAGGATGGCAAGGAGGTGGTTAAGCAATGATGAACGAGGGAGCAAGCACAAAGACAATAAGAGCAATTGAGATGTTGTTCCTTTCTAAACAAGGGAACTTTGTTCTTGGACGTGGCTAAGATGTTGGGAAACAGTTTGATGATTTATAAGTTTTTTAATTGTTATTTTGGCAGGATTTTAGAATTTGTGGAGTTTGTCTAGGGTAATTTGGCCCTAATATAATGAAAAACTCTTCTAAGTACCACATACGTTAGGATGTGTTTTTTTTTATGGGCTGCTAAAATTATGAACTATTCCCTAAACTATGTGAGCCCTGAAACATTTTCTATCGCTTCCTTTTAGTGTTTCCGTCCCTTGCTGTGGATAGCTTCCTAAACGCAACACAAATCAATGCTCATGAAGCCTTACAGGCCACTTTTTAAACTCCCCAGGGAGAAGTTCCTGTGGATGTATGCCCTGTCTTCTCACTAGGGTGTGTTGTATCCTTCCTGGTCATCCTGACCTTGAACTCCATCTCCTTGTCTCAGGGAGGACTCCAGGCCCTGTTTGATTTCTCCTTTTCTGTGCAATAAGCCAAGCCAATCTCATTGGTTTCTTTTCTCAAGAGTCATGGCTTGGTGATGCTTGATAGTCAGTCTCTGAAAGAAGTTTCTCATCTGATTTGTCTTGTTATCCATTTCTTAAGGATTGACAGAAATATTCCTTGGTGATTTGCAACATCTAAAAGATGTTCCCTGCCAGGTGTGATGGCACATGCCTTTAATCCCAGCACTCACAGGTCAGAGGCAGGCAGATCTCTGTTAGTTCAAGGCCAGGCTGGTCTCCATAGGGAATCCAGGCCAGCTGGGGCTACAGGGAGACCCTGTCTCAAAAAAAAAAAAAAAAAAAAAAAAAAGATGTTTCCTTCCTATGACTATAAGGACCTTTTGATCTTTTTAAATTTTTAAAAATTATATTTATTTTGTGTGTGTATGCCTGTTCATAGGTGGGAGTCAGAAGACAGCCATTAATAAAGCAAACATTCTTTAACTTAACTGGTAAACAGTTGAAATTGATTAGTTCACACATGCAACTTATATTCTAAAGACAGATTTCTGTGTTTGGATTCCTAAAGAAGACAAAGGGGATAAAAGCGCTTTAGTTTCACACGTGGCACAGGCTGGCAACAGTCTTTAACATTAGGCAAATTTTTCCTCAGGGTTCTGGGATGGCAGACAGATTTAGTTTGGCTTGTAGATGGCCACTGCCTTCTTGCTGTATCTTTCTGTGGTAGAGAGAGGAAGTCATAGTGTCTTTTCTTCTTTTAAGGTACAAACTCCATCATGGAGTTCAGCTCTCATGACTTTTAATTTAGTTACCTGCTGATTTTACATTTTGTCACCCATGGTATGGGTGGTCAAAGCCTCAGCCCTAGAATCATTACATGGGGAGTTAGGACTTTACCATATTATTATTATTATTTGGGAGATGAAGGGGGACACAAACATCAAAATTCAACTTACTTAATTTCACCTTGGTAACCTAAATCTTGGTGGTTAAGCAGTGTTTCCAGCAGGCTCAAGGTTAGATATAATCCGTGCTTCCCACATATAGCTCCGACCTAGAAATAAGAAAGGATTTGAAGCTTTATAAGATGACATTGATGTTTTAATTTCCTTATTGTAATTATAGCCTATATGATTTTTTCTTTTGAGACAGTGTCTCCCTGTATACTAAGCTGGCTTGGAACTCACTTTGTAGACCAGGCTGGCCTTTGTCTCAAAGATCTACCTGCTTCTCCCTCCCTACTGCTAGGATTAAAAGCATGTTGCCACCATGCCTGGCATAGCCTATAGGATTGTGACAAAGAATTAATACCTAGGAATGTACTCTACCACTGGAATATCATTTAGAGCAAGACTCTTCAGATTAATGCTTATCAATAACAAATTTATATTTAGTTGATGCTTGGGTATCATTTATTATTCAGAAACCACTAGGCTTTTAGTTGCTGATTTTACATTTTGTCATCCATGGTATGGGTGGCCAAAGCCTATGGATTATTTTTAATTTGCAATGTAAATAAATTATAAAACATTTTTGTATAATCTACTTTGATTTAGAAAACAAGTGTGTTTGGTGTTTGTCAACTGGATAGGTGCATGTAGACTAGACCCATACTTAACACCCTGCACAAAAGTCAACTCCAAATAGATCAAGAATGTTAACATAAGATCAGATACCCTGAATCTGATAGAGGAAAAAGTAAGAAATACATTGGCTCTTATAGGCAAATGAAGGATATTTCTGAATATGACAATACTACAGACATTAAGACCAAAAATTGGTCACATCCTTAACATTCTTGCCCCTATTGAACCAGTGGGCATATCGTGCCAGCCCAGTCATTACTGTAGCTCAAAAGGTTCACAACTGTATTGACAGTAAGACCTGATTGCTGAAGACAATACATGTGTGTCATAGAGCAAACAAGGAGAACTCAAGGTGGTGTTGACTTCAGAGCCTCCCCCTACTGGTTAGCATTCATAGTACTGGAAGGTGCTATGCAAGCTTCTAGGAGGGAAAAGTAATCATCAGCCTGACCCATCTTGAATCCTGTGAGTTGTAAAAACAGCTGCCTTGGCAAGATATGCTCACCAGTGCAATGGTGGCATGAAAGTTATAGGAGTGACCATGTAATCTGTGACTGGGATTTGAGATCCACTCTACAAGATGTACCCTATACCTGGCACTGTTATCAGGATCAAGATCCCGTGGCTACATAGGCCACAGACCATAGGGGAGAATCTACCAATATTTTACTAAATAGAAATTATATTAATATGGTTGCCAATGACTTATTGCTATACCTATCGATTAGTGCATGTCTTAACCCTCATCAGAGAAGCTTCTTGTGGGAGAGGGCAATTAGCACAAAGACCTACAACTGGTCAATGTGCAGAGAATATGAGAGTGTGAAGTTCTGAGTCCTAAATGGAACATCTATATCACAACTCTTTTCTCAAGGATCAGGGATCTTCACAGGAAGAAGGAGTAGAAAGATTATAAAAGCTCGATGTGGTTTATGACTATAATAAAATTTTTCCAGAGAGTAATGTAGTTGCATATATGAACTCACAGTAATTGTGACAGCATGCACAAGACCCAGTGAAGTTTAAGAAAGACAAAATGCCAGCATGGAGGAGAGAGGCGGGCATAACGCCCAACCCCTAGCTAAGAACTATTAGCATGTGATAATTGCTGGGAGAAGAAAAGTCAGTTTTATTTAAGAGTATGGGTGTGACACCAGGTAGAGCAACCACACTCCAGGGAGGGATCCACATTCAAGAGTATTTGGCAACACAAATTGGACTCAATGGGAAAAAAATGGACTTGAAGTTGGGTGGCTATAGAGTTGGAGAACAATCTGTGTGTTGTTGGGGAAGTGTGGAAATTAATTCCCAAAGAATTAATACATTTAAAAAAAAAACAAGTGTGTTACACTCACAGTTAACGTTACTTTCTAGTTTCTTTTCCTGCAGTAGTGAGAAAATACCCTGACAAATGCAATTAGAAGGAGAAACGGTTATTCTGGCTCACACTTTGAGGCCCAGTCTATCATGGTGGGGAGTCAGAGCAGCAGGAGCACAAAGTAGCTGATCCCTTTGCATCCAAAGTCAAGAAGCAGCAGACAGTGAAGGTATACTAGTGCTCAGCTCATTTTCTCCATCCTACAGCCTAGGAGACCCGACCCAGAGAACAGTCTGGCCTACAGCTAAGGTGAGTGTTCCTGCATCAATTAATACAATCAAGATAATCCCCCATGGACATGCTCAGAGACCCATTTACCAGATGATTATAGAATCTGTCAAGTTGGCAATAGTAACCATCATATTCACTAATGTGTGTGTGTATGTGAATGTGTATATAGAGAGAAAGAGATAGTAGATAGATAGATAGATAGATAGATAGATAGATAGATAGATAGATATAGAGAGAGCTAGCTAGCTAGATGATAGATAGATAGATAGATAGATAGATAGATAGATAGATAGATAGATGGATGATGGATGGATGGATGGATTAATGGATGGATAGATCATGGAGCTACATAATTATGGAACATATAATAAAAATCATGTTCTCAATAAGTATTTGTTAATTGAGTGAATGAAATGTCATTGTAGTTTCCCAAGTACTCAATTTGTTATGGATCTATCTGACACAGAAGTTTAATTCTCAGATGATACTGAGATTCAAATATACCCCTTTCTGGGAATGTGATAGTCTATGCTGTATGTTTTATGATAATGAGTAGAAAGACTTCATACGCAAACTTTACTTTGAACAGCAGATCTACTGTCTGTGACATGGGCAGTTACTTAACCTTTCTGTGTTCAATTTATGAAAGGGGACTAGTTCATCCTACTTCCCATGATTCTGTGAAGATGACATGAGAAGCACCTGGAATGGTACATGGCTCTCAGTAGGCATGTCAATAATATTTTCTGAGATGGAAAGAAGAAAAAAGAGTAGAAAGTTATAAAAGGAGACACGGGGAGAACAGGAAGCAGGGAGAGACAAAAGGGAAGGAGCAGAGTCAGAGAGAAGGGAGAGAGGGAGGGAGGCATGGAGGAAGGAGAAGAAGCAAAGGAGGAAGAAAAAGTATCATATTAGTTTGGATTAAGTGGTAGCTAATAGATTATGGTGGTTTGGATATGGTGTCCTCCCCCCAAAATTATATGTCAGAAGGATTGCGTATCAGCTTGCACTGAAGCCCCCAAACTCTGTCAAAATAAATCTTTGGATCGCCTTTTAGCTGCTTCTCTCAGTATTTTCTTCACAGTTTCCAAAAGCTTTCTATGACATAAATAGTCCAAACTAAGTGATTAGTACCTAGTTGTATTACTTTGAAAAGAATTTCAATATAGTATCTGTATTTTATGTCTTTTAATTCTGATGCTTTGGCCCACTGAAGCCTTATTGGTTCTAGGACTCTTGCCCTTCTTAGTTAGGTAATTATCAGAGAGAGTAAAAAAATCTCAGTTGAATGTGAGTGATCACATCATCCAAAGCCCATTATGAGGGCCTTCACAGCTGTACTCCTCTGACCTCTCTCCTTTGGACAAGGAGACTGGAAACTAGGGGCAGTGTCCAATAGGCCAGAGTCCAATGAAGTTGACCAGGCCATTCCATCCCAAGCTTGCTTATCCTTCTTAGCTTATTCCTTCTACAGAAAACCACAGTAAAGGCTCTTCTCTGCCTTTCCCCTTTCATCCTGACTCAGGGGGTGCTTCCCTTAGAAGCTCTGTTTGGTGTGGTGTCCCTCTTAGGAACCAAGGGAAACAAATCCTTCTCAACTCATTTGTCTCCTGATCTGTTGGTATCAGCATATCAAAACAATAGTAGAACACACATTTAAAATTTTTCCGTATTCTTTTTATTTTTTGTGGATGAGTACACTGTCTGCATGTATGTAAGTGTACTTACGTCGTGCAATGCACACAGAGGTCGGAAGATGGTGTTGTATCCCCTGGAACTGTAGTTACATATGGTTGTCAGCCACCGTGTGGGTGCCAGGATTCAAATTCAGATCTTCTGCAAGAGCAGCCAGTGGTCTTAACCGCTGAGCCCTCTCTCCAGTTTAATAGGACATTCACTCTAAAACAGTGACAAGGACTAAGGACATAGTTCAGTGGAGCATTTGTCTAGCCTGGGCAAAGCCCTGGGTTTATCCTCAGCACTGCACATAGCAAGCCAGCAAGCAAACTGTGACAAAAAGCATGTTTGCTTTTGTTTATGGGGTTTTAAACATGCCTGTTAATAGTTATCAAAGAATAAAGTCAGGAAAACTTGAAGAGGAAAGTAAAAGATTACTCTGAGACAAGGGAACATTAACAACAGAAGCCGTGTATGGTGGCACACTCCTTTAATCTCAGTATTCAGGAGGCAGAGGCAAGTGGATCTCTGTGAGATTGTAGCCAACCTGGTCTATACAGTGAGTTCCAGGCCAGCTGGGGCTACAGGGTAACCCTGTCCCAAAATAGAAAAATGAACAGAGTTCACCAGAAGCATAAGGAATTGGGGGGAAATTTCAGGTAGAGGAAAAGGAGATGTGAATTATGTGTGAAAAAGTCTGGTGCTGCTTAGAGAGTCAAGTATTTGACATAATGCCATTACTTACTTTCCTATTGTTTTATTTCTATCATTTCCTGAGCTTCCTCACAAGGCAGTGTCTTTCCCTGGGCTGGGATGGTGTTTCATTCATTTTCCTATAACCTTTGCTTAGCGTAGTCTTGAAACATAAAGGATCAAAAGTAAAGGATGAATGAGGAAATGAGGGAATGATTTGAACTCACCAAGAATAGAGTGTGTGGGGTAGGGGCAAGAAAAACATATGTAGAAATTGCATGCATTCTGCCATTTTATTCCATTAAGTAAGAACTGAATTATCTTCATGATTCAAACATATCGATAGATTTCTGAGCACTCATATTAAAAGGTTATTCTCAAAATATATCACTTTGGCAATGTTGATTTTTGCTGTGGCTAAAATAAATAGCAGATTAGAAAGAGTACATCATGGTACCTAGACCCAGACTGATTGACAGTTGCTGAAAACTAACTGACAGTTGTTGAGGAGCAATGGAAACATCCACCAGAAAAGCTTATTAATGCAGTGTTACTTGGGATTATCATTAAAATCTTTCACGGCATGAATATTCATAATAATGACCCTTAGTAAGAAAATGTTTAACTTCTTCTATTTAATAAGGAAATGTTTTCAATCAGATAAAAATAAAATATCTATGCCTAGAACTCCTAGATAGAAGGATGCAGAAAGACCTGGAGCAGAGAATTCTAATTTCATGTCCATTCCTGGGATAAAATACCCTGACCAAAAGTAACAGGGGAGGAAGGGTTTATTTAAGCTTATGATTCCAGGTCACGCCCATCATTACAAGAAAGTCGCAGAGACGGGAACTTGAGATAGCTGGTCACATCACATCCACAGATAAAGACTGGAAGAATGGAATGCATCCATGCTGCCTGCCCTCAGTTAGTTTTCTTCCCTTATACAGTTTAGATCCCAGTCTAGGGAATGGTGCCACAGTGGGCTGGGTCAATTAACAACTAAGACACACAACATGGCCCTAGGTCAATTTGATCTAGGAAATTCCTCAGTTGAGGCGCTCTTCTCAGCGTGATTCTCAGTTATGGCAAGTTGACAATTGTTTAAATACCATCTTGGGGCTGGAGAGATGGCTCGGTGGTTAAGAGCACTGATCAGCTCTTGCAGAGGACCGAGGTTCGATTCCCACACCCACATGGTAGTTAACAACCGTCATCTGTAACTCCAGTTCCAGGGGAATCCCACATGCTCTTCTGACCTGTACAAGCATTGCATGACATGGGTGCACTTAGATACATACAGGCAAACACCGACACACATAAAAATAATAAAACATTTAAAAAAGCTATTATCACCTCTTGCTGAATTATTGAAATAGTCTCCTATAAGCAAGCTTTGTTTGCTTCAAAATAGTTCTCCGAATTCTATTAGAATTCTCTTTTTAAAAATACGAATAGGATACTATTGTTTGCTGATTTAATATGATTCAGTGATTATTATGGCCGTTCAGGATAAAATTCATAGTCCTTAGAAAGACCCTTCATAGCCAAGCTCACACTTTCATTCTAGAGCTGACTTGTATTGCAGCCATTCCTGGAACTGGCCTTGCTTTCCCTCAGCCGTCATTCTGGACTGGGTTTATACTGACCTTTTGACGCAGACCACCTGTCTTGTCATTTTCTCCTCTCTCCACCACCCTTGTCTCTCTCTTTGTCAAACGTGTCTGCTAACTAGGGTGCAGTATTTACTCAATCACCTTGACGACTTTCAAGCAAATCTACATTGGTGTCTAGGTATATGTTCAAATCCATGGCTATCCTCGCTTTTCACAGAATGGTGATGGCATTGCCTTTTCCTTGAGCTTCTGGGGGACACCTGTTGTTCTTAATGCCCACCACAGTGCCCAGAACATATTGAGACATTAATATATCAAACAGGGGATTGAAATAATAACACCTGTTGTTCTTAATGCCCACCACAGTGCCCAGAACATATTGAGAAATTAATATATCAAACATAACTCTATATTAAATATACAATACTGATTATAATCGTGGGTATTGCATTAAAGGTAGGGAATGATTCAAAATTAGTAGAACTCTTTGGACTGTTTTGTAGCAGAGATATATAAGTAATTAAATATGATAAAAAGGTGCCAGCCAAATTCCAGAGGAAGTTGGAGAGTCTGACTTCACTAGGTTAAAAAAAATTGTTGAAAGGGAGAAGAATTTGGAAGATGTCCAAAAGTGTTAAATTGAGGCTACATGCTTAGGAACTGAGGTTCTATAGCCCTGTTGAATGTATGCCTGGCTCAGGTAATGAGAAGATGTGATGCGTAGTCTTCGATATTCAATTTGATAAGATCTATAATCCCCTAGGAAATGGGTCTCTGGCATACCAGTGAGAGGTTTTCTGAATTAAGCTAACTGAGGTGGGAAGACCTACCTACGGTGGGTAACACTATTCCCCGAGCTGGGATCCTGAACTGCATCAAAAAGAGGTAGAGGTCAGCTGAGCACAAGCATCCATCATGCTCTGCTTCTTGACCTGGAGGCAATGTGATCAGCTACCTCAGGTGTGGCTGCTTTGACTTCTCCGACATGATAGACTGGAACTTCCGTGAGCCAAAATAAATCTTTCCTTCCTTAAACTGCTTTTGCCAGGGTATATTGTCACAGCAACAAGAAAAGTAACTGAGAAAGCATGGTAATTAATAAAGATGCTTCTAGATGGACATTGCATCAACAGTCCTGTCAAACCATCACTGCACTGAACATGGGCAAGACAGGACAAGGGAGTCTGTGTATGAAGATGACAGATAATGGACCTGTTTCTGTACTATTCTTTGTGACTGGTAAAAAATTCACCGATTTGGGTGACAAGACCTGTAGATTATTTCAGACGGTGTTTGGATTTTTTGGAAGCCGCAGATAGTCTGTGACGAATTTAAATCGGTGGTTCTGTGTTTTTAGTCACCTTACTCTTGTTTTTTGTTTATTTCCCTGGAAGGAGAGTGAGAGCTGTCATGGTTGACCCAAGAACGTCCATGGTTTTCTGTCCTGTACTCCAGTGAGGTTAAGAACCACCGCTCCAAAGTATCAGTGCCTCTAGCTCTGGCCTGGCTTTTCCCAAACTGCTCTTAACTCTGGGTATAAGAGCAAGGAACTTGGGGTGAGACTGTGTCCTGTGGCTTCCTGTGTCAAATGTCCCTTGGGCCTCAATTTGCTGCACATTCTGGGGAAAACGAATTATATTTTACAAGCCTTTCAGAACTATATTACTACTTTGAATGAGTTCCAGATGTTTTAAGAGATGCCAGATGGCTCATGAAGGACAGACCAGCTTTAAGGAAAATGTAGCCTATTTCCTTGGATCAGAACCACAAAGTTAAGCTTTCAAGGCCAGCTTTAGGCAAGAAAATTTAAGGACTGTCTGATAGCCAGTACATAATGTGGTTATCATGTGAACACAGGACAGACCCTCCTACCTTAAGATGCTTTAAACTAGATCCTCAGAAAACTGATGTGGTGTGTGTGTGTGTGTGTGTGTGTGTGTGTGTGTGTGTGTGTAGAAAAGGAAAGGAGGATAACATGGATACCGTTTATTTAGGATTTGTCTACCAGATAATAATAAATGTATTTTAATTTTCAAGTTGTTTATGAAAACATTCAGGGTTTACCAACAGTCTTATACAACTCCTAATCTAACAAAGAACTGCTGCTTGTTAATCTAATCCTATTAATCTTCTCACGAACATGGAAAAGGCACATCATGAGACACCGAGTGCCCTGAGGTATTCTCTTTCTACTGAAACATGCTTGCATGTGTAGTACACATGCACATAGGCACATTAACACTCAGGATTGACATAAGCCTTGCTTTGCACAATTACTGTATAAATGCAGGCCTAGAGAAAGCCTTCATATGAGAATAAGAACCCATTTTTACTGTGTTGTGTCTTTGCTTCCTCAGAAAATATCAGAAAATACTCTGCCTGCCTCAATTTTAACTCCTTTATACTTGCAATGAAAGGGATGATACAATGTGACAGAACCTTTTCTCCTATAAGTTCCAACATTTCCTAATCTTCTAAATTCTAACTCTCATGTACTGGTCTCAGTGGAAACTCTCAGATATTGTCTGCTAATTTAGTTCCAATTTTGCTTTTTAACTTCCTGAACGTTTCTGTTCCTTGAATTCTGAATCTGCCTCTTGTTACTTGTAGACTCGGGATTAATTCAACTGTCTTCTTCACAACTCGGTTTTGTTTCACTCATTAACAGCTGCAACAATACCTACCTCCATTTCATAGTATTTTGTAAGGAATTACCTTTATTGGTGTTAACTGGGATTATGCGAGTAAAGTATTCAGCACAGGGCTCGGTGTCTAGAAAGAACCCTGTAGTCTGTTGCTGTGGCATTATCAGTGCAGTTATAGTAATAGTGGCAATTATTATTCCACCTGATCCAAGGTAGCATGGAGACTGCAGTCCATTTGGCTAACAGAAGATCTATGAATAAATATGGTTCTGGGTCCTCGTCCATGAAACACATCTGCACTGGTAATTAATGCTCCAAATCAGCATGCTAAGGTCTATCCACAATAAATTACATCAGTCCTAAAATATGGTGCTCCTAAGGCATGGTACACCACATGTAGATCCCACTAGCAGCTGAAAGAGGATGCAAGAAAGATGGTTGGCCTTGAAAAAAGATTTATTTTCCATTGTGAAATATTATTTTGACATTGTCATATTTTCTATTATTAACATAAAACAGCCCAGTGTAAGTAATTCCTGGACCAATTCTGCACATTTTGTAACATCTTTCCAATTTTGTTTTTCTCTTCTCAAGAACAAAGAACCAAAGTGTTGTGTAATATAATCCGCAGGCAGAACACAGATTATATATAATGGAGTCTTATTATTCTAGTTTCAGCTTTCTGAAGTAGCATGTTGACTCTCATTGAACCTGAACCTAGTTTTGGTTACCTTGGGCAGAGGGAGGCAGCCAGAGAATGAACGATCTTCTTTTCGAAAGCTTAAGTTGAGGTTGTCAATGTTGAGTTTGACTTTGGATGTTCTTAATGCCATCTTCAAAGTATCTAGCAGACTTTGAGACTGTGAGCTGGAGCCTTGAGGTGGGGCACTGATTGGAGAGGTGAAGGAAAGACTATGAAAACATGATCCACTAAAAGCCTCTGCATGTTTTCATACCTTGCTTCTCAATCCTGCTAACCCCCTGGGATCTACCTACTAAGGCCTCCTAAGTCTTGATAATTTGGTCCTGAGACCACATGTGCAATTTTCATAGATTAATACATCGTCTCTTCCATTAGAATGACCTTACAATGAGGGATCAACTGACTGGACCAAATACTTAATCCATCCTTCTAATTATCTTTTTTTCAGTTGAAAACAAGAAAAAAATAATACACTATGTCTGCAGCAGAGTTCTTGAGCTGCTTAATATTACTGCTTTAAACTCAGATAATTATTAGTGGCAAATCAAACTTCCATACTACTTATTGCCACAAGCAAAACCCAGCACATCCTGCCAGATCTCGTAACAGGAAATTTTCATAGGAAACCCTGGACCACGCAGACATACTGCACTATTCCCAACCTTTCACTTTACGTCTGGAAGACCTGTGAAGTGTTTGGGAACTAATTATTTACTACCGTCTGGAACGCACATATTTAATTATGAAAACAGTAGGCTTGACTGACTTCTGTTTCTTTAAATAATAGGTGAAAAGTAACAGGGTGATACATTTATGGTTATATGTTTCATGAACTGTTTACATTCAAATGAATTTGAGTCCCTCCTCCATCTGAATCATACCTCTTATGAAATCTGTACTGTTTTACAGTGAAAAGCCACTTCTTCAGAAGGAAGTTATGGCACCCCACATCCTACATCACATAAACAAGGCTGTTTTCAATGGTGCGTGGGTAAATCTCAAACAACCAGTCCTCTGAGGTGAAGCCCTCATTTGTAGCATTACCAATATCCCTAGTATCACCTGCCCTCACTGACTTCAAACAACCATGTCCAAGGGCTGGCCTGCTAGAGCCTCATCCAACAGATGAAGGACCAGTATAGGTGGTGAGTGGGAGCTCTTTCTCCTGAGGCTCAGACTTCAGCAGTCCTGTGATTCTGAAACACGCTTTCTGCTCTGAATAGACCAATGCTTTCGCTGATGCACCCAGAATGATCTCTTTATGCACTTTTTAAAAATGAAGATTTCTAGATGTCCCTGAAAGTCAAATAATGTCTACTCTTTGGATAATTGGAAAAATATCAATTCTATTTAACAGACATTTATTAAGCATCTCTTATATGCTGGTAACTATGGAAGGACTAAATGAGACATAAAGTTGGCTAGGATGAACACCATTCCTAACCTTAAATGCCAAATAATTTCAAATGCAATGCCTGTCGTGAAGGAGAAGAGATCTGGACCATGGCACAAACAGAAGGAATCCTGTTTGGGGACCAAGGGCCTTCCTGTCTAGCATTCATGAAATCTTGACCAATGGAGGTCATGATTTGTTGCATAGTCTGTAACCTCTCTGGGTCAAAATTTCAAAATTTTTAGTTATGAAGGGTACTTGCTGAGTACTAAAATTTTCTAGGGCTTTTCATTCCCAGTAGAACAGTAATGCCCCGAGCCACGCTTGGCTAAAGTATTCACATGGTAATATTATTTTCTTTGGATTAGGAGCTCCTTAGGCAGAGATTGGGTCTTGCCAATATTGGAATTTACTGTACCCAGCAAAGTGGGCCTGGCAATGAAACTTCGTCAATGAAGAATTACAGCCAAGTGGCAGACTGTGGGAAGGAATTGTGACAATAGAGAATGGAATGTCTCTCTGGGTGGAGACGTGCCTTTTGCCTCCTCCCTTAAAAGTTAATCCAGTTGGATAGGTCAATCACCTGGCCAGGGGATCACCCCTGAGTCAAGATGGGTTCACCTCAAGCCATTTTAAAGAGAATGGAACCCCTATTCCCATACTTATTCATATAAATATAAAAAAATGTATTTCTCCCCAGAATCTTCGCCTTCTGTGAGGTCACTTACTGAGGTGCATCCTTGCAGCCTTGTTAAGTTTGCTCATTTTTCTAAATTACTCAGAAAAGCAATAACAACAACAACAAATGGCTAATGCACGTAAACGTACACTTCTAAGTTCTGCATATGAGAGACTCTAAATAGAATTTTGCTTTCATTAACTATTACAAAACAATGAAATGAATTCTATTTGACTCTCCATTTTCCAGTTGGACCCTGGAAGAAAAGAAAGAAGGTGGATGAATTCCAGGGTCACACAGCTACTCTGTGGCAGACACAGAAGTTGAACCCAGGTTTGTGGCAATGGACCTCATGTTCTTAACAATTGCACTTCCTCACTGTTCTTGGTAAACACAGAAAATATCACACTTCACTCTGCTTCATCGCTAATCATATCTCTCACATACTTTTCTTTAAAACCTTCAATCATTTCTTCCCCTTCGCTAGTACATATAACAGGGTTTCACTAGCCAAACCTATTTCTAGACTCACACTTTATAGATGAGGCAGCTCCATGCTTTACATGATCATTTCTTGTTTGCAATGAGATTTTTCTTTTTCACATATAAATAAAAAGATGTATCTTAGTATAAAGAAATATATGCAGTTGATTGAAATATCTTCCTATGCTGAGAAAGGAAAAGTGTAAGGGAGGGAAAGAGGAAAAATGGGGGGGGGTGGAGAGACATACATACGCACATAAAGAGCGACAGAGACAGAGAAACTATATGTACATGTGAAATATTGGTCAACTTGGTAAGATGTTAGAGTGAATGCCTCCAAGATCCTGCCACTATAGAGGTCTAGCACAATGGACTGATTATGTCCCTCCAAACTTCAAATGTTGGAACCCTTACTCCAATGTGGTGGTATCAAGAGATGATGCTTTGGGGAGGAGATTAAGTCACAAGGTTTGAGTCTTCATGAATGGGATTGTGCTGGATGGCTTCAGTTGTCAACACATCTGGGAAGAGGGAACCTCAATTGGGGAATTTCTTCTATGGGATTGGCTTTTAGGCATGTCTGTGAGGCATTTCAGACCCTGAGTCCATGTTCCTGACCTGAGTTTCTACTCTGGCTTCCCTGGATGATGGACTGTGAGATGTAAGCCAAATAAACCTTTCCTCCCCAAACTGATTTTAGTCAGCATTTTATCAAAGCAACAGAAGCAATCTAGGACAGGGATTAATGCCCTTACAAAGAGTGGTGGCAGAATTTTCTTGTTCTTTCTGTCATGTTAAGTATTAGGAAAGAGCTGGCATCTGCAGCCCAGAAAAGGGCCCTCACTAGAACCCAAACATGCTAACACTGTCATTTAAACATTCAGCCCACAGTAGTAGAAAGAAATATCTGTTCTTTAAAGCCATCTAGCTTATTGTAGTTGATTACAGCAATCTGAGCAGACTAAGAAAGGCATGAATAATAGGCATAAAAAAGGGAGGGGAATACCTTTGTCTATGCTCGCTATAACTTGGAGTTTTCCTAAGGTGGCTGTCCACAGCTGTTTCATTTTGCTGTAAACCAGTTGAAGTTGCACCTTTTAAAAACCAGAGAAGCTTTCCATAATTCACCTGAAAATTCAATATAAGGTGGAACATCTTTATTTAATTTATATTGAAGGGAAAGATATCTGTTGGAATAAAATGCATTTGGAAAAAATTTACCATTAATAGTTTAAAAATCCAATTAAAATATAGTCTCACAATTATTTGTGATTTTTGTCTAAGCAGCCTTATCTGGACAAGTGGTAAAATTTTACCTGGTGGTTGGGTAAAGCCCAACTTCTTACGCTGTGGGGAGCAACCCTGTGGAGTCATGAAAAATATGGCATAGTAGAAGGTTTTTTTAACATGTAACAACCAAAATTCAATACAAATTCAAATATACAAGATATTTCTGGCAGCACCACCTTCACTGGATCAGGTGACTTCACTGCAGCTATGGCATGAACACACAGTCCAAAGATTTAGCTCTTGATATAAAAATAAATAAGCATATTCATCTTAGTGTATAAACTTGCTTTTATCTTTAATAAATAGTAAAATTCTATATATGCCAAATAATTGGTTTTAAAAGACTCTTTATGGGCTGGAGAGATGGCTCAGTATTACAAAGGATCCAGTTTTTTCTTCCCTGCACCCACATGGTGGCTAACAACCATCCTAACTCCAGTTCCAGGGGAATCCCAATGCTTTCTTCTGACCTCTACTGGCATTGCACAACATGGGTGCACTTATACACATGCACGCATTACACTCATACACATGAAATAAAAATAGTAAATAAAATATTGGGGGGATGCTATGGGAAGGTGCCATTTTGGAAGTGGGTATATAGATGAATAAGACTGTGTGGGATGTTCTGTATAATATACACACAAAAAAATCAACAAATTAAAAAAAGACATATTTGAGGAGGAAGCATAAAAATTTACTTCATGTTAATTAGTAGAGGTGATAAACATTAAAATCTACCCGACGACTTTATAGCCATACACAGGTGCCAAGGATCTGAGTGCAACTCCACTGTGACTAGATACATAGAGATTAAATATGCATGTGCAAATATCTAAGCGTTAGTAGCATTAAAAATATATGAAACAGCTGGGCATGGTGGCGCACGCCTTTAGTCCCAGCACTTGGGAGGCAGAGG